ACTATAAATTTACTTAAACCTCATAGCACTTCTATGAAGTGGGTGTTATCATCCCTATTTGCAGGTGAGAAACTGGGCCTCGGAGACGTTAAATAGCACGCTCAAGGTCACGCAGCTCATAGATTGCAGACCTAGGACTGCAGCCTGATTTAGTTCTCTGAATTCCTTCCATTGTGTTACTTTTGACCTCACAATTATTTCCCCAGAACTTTCCATGTAAAATTGGAATGCATCTTACGTACTTGTGTATCTTACTCATAAGACAACAAGTATAATACCAGTAGTGGAACTTAATCCAACTAAACCTCGGGTCTGAACCCTAGTTCCTCTTCAGGGTCACCTTGGGCCCCCAAAGCCCTTTTGTAAAATGGGGGAGTCATATGAAGAATTATATAAATTTTTTACATCTTTCCTCAGATTTATTTATTTTTAAAGAAGACAATTAATTTATTGATTTGAGAGAAAGAGAAACATTGATTTGTTATTACACTTATTAATGTATTCATTGGTTCATTCTTTTTTAAAAAGTTTTTTAATTTACTTTTAGAGAGAGGGGAAGGGAGGGAGAAAGGGAAACATCAATGTGTGGTAACCTCTCACGCCCCCCCACTGGGGACCTGGCCTGCCACCCACACATGTGATCTGACTGGGAATTGAACCAGTGACCCTTTGGTTTGCAGGCTGGCACTCAGTCCACTCAGCCACACCAGCCAGGGCTCATTGGTTGATTCTTATATGTGCCCTGACCAGGGCTCAAACCCTCAACCTTGTCATATCAAAATGATGCACTAACCAACTGAGCTGCCTGGTCAGGACCACCTGTTTCATTTAGTACAGTTAAAATTCACCCTTAAAAAAAATGAGTGTCAGCAAACATATACTTTCATATAATCACCACCATAATCAAGATACAGAACAGCCATATCACTGGCTCCTCCTTCCTGGCCCGGAATTCCCTCATGCCCCTTCTTACATCAGTTTTTCTTCCACACCTCTAGTTCTGGCAGTCACTAAGCTGTTTTCTGCCCGATAGTTTTGCCAATCCAGACTGTCATATAAATGGAATCATAGAGAATATAGCCCTTTGAATCAGCTTCTTTCTTTTAGCATAATGTCTTGAGATTCACTCACGTTGTATACCTGTAGGCAGTCGGTTACTTTTCATTGATAAGGATGAAGGTACTGCAGTTTGTTTATCCATTTACCATTTGGAGGATATTTGCCTTGTTTCCAAAGCTGTCAGTTTCTGATGCCTTGCTGGTCAGGTATTTGGGGGAAGGCCTGAGTCCTGTTTGCCTCCTTGGGCAGCTGGCTTTGTTTTGGAGGCCATCCCACTGTGACGCTCTGTGGACTTACCCAGAAGGGCTGATGGAACTTGTCTGTGGAGGGGGCTCGTGGGCTGGTTGAGGCACAGCTTTCTCTGGCCCGTGGAGTGAGTTTCAGGCATCAGTAAAACTTCACTGACTCCCTGTTTCTCCCTCCTTGCCATTTCTCTCTCCTCTCCATCTCTCTTCTCTCCTCCTCTTCTCTCCCTGCCACCGTCCCTTCCTTCCATTTCCTGACAGTTTGGTTTTAGTTCTTGCTACCTATTTCCCTTGCTGGCAGCAGTGATTGATGATTGATTTTATGGTCTATTTGTTGATATCTGTTGGGACAGTGGGGAGCTGTTCTCTTTCCATTGGGAGACCAGAGAAAATTGGATGTTAGTTTTTGTTTTGTTTTTTGATAGTTTGTCTATTTGTGAGCTCAAATCAATTAAGAAAATATGCAGAGAAATACCCTTAGGGAAGCTTTGAAAGGAGAACAGCTCATTGATATTTGGGCCAGTGGGTTTTTGTGTTTCTTGGTTTAGTTAGGCACGTGGCTGAGGTTGTATAAGAGAAGCTGAAAGTTTTCAGTGTCCGTATGAGTCTGAAATTGTTCTACCTCCGTAGTATATTAATTAGCAGGTGACATGGTAACACCTCTTAAATTTATGGTTTGCTTGATTGGTTTATCAGAGCTAATGGGGCTTACGTAAATATAAGGAAATACATACATTTCTAGAAAAAAAAGACATGGAAGTTCTAAATAGTTCAAATGTGCTAGCCTTTGAAGGGGGGGAAAATAACCCTTATATAAACATTAAGAGGGTTTTTTCCTAATTAGTTACTATTTGTTTTAATAGCTTGATTGATAATGTAATTTACATACCATAAAATTCATCCACTTAAAGTGTACGGTCAGTTAATTTGAGTATATTTTAAGATTTGTACAACTGTCAGCATAATCTCATTTCACTCACTGTCTGTACCCTCCCTACCCCAGCCATAGGCCAATTCTCATCTCCCTTATCCTCTATAGATTTGCCTACTTTGGACATGCCATGTAAGTAGAGTCATGCGCTACATATGCGGTCATTTGTTACGGACTTTTATCACATAGCATGATGTTTTTGAGGTATATCCATGTAGTAGCATAAGTCAGTACTTCATTCTTCTAGCTGCTGAGTAATATTCCAGTGTGTGGCTCTGCCACATTTACTTAACTATTCATCAGCTGATGAACATCTGATTGTTTCTATTTTTCTGGCTCTTTTGAATAATGTTTCTGTGAACATTTGTGTGTACAAGTTTTTGTGTGGGTGTATGCTTTTATTTTTCTTGGTTATATACCGAGGAATGCAATTGCTGAGTCACGTAGTAAGTCTGTGTTTAACCTTTTAAGGAACTGCCAGACTGTTTTCCAAAACAGCTGCACTGTTTTACATTTCCCACAACAGTGTGCGGCGGTTCTAATTTCTCCACATCTTCCCCAGCACTTTTTAGTTTCTGCTAATATCATTGCCATCCATTTCCCAAATGTGTATGATGTTGAGCATCTTTGCGTTTGCTTATTGGCCATTTACACATCTTTTCTGGAGAAATGTCATATCATATCTTTTGCCCATTTTTAAATTGGGCTACTTCTTTTTCTTTATTGAGTTTGTGAGTATTCTTTATGTATAAGTCTCTTATACATAAAGTCTGATATGTCATATCAGACATATGACTTGCAAATATTTTATTTTCACTCTCTTTGTATGGATTACTCTATTCAAATTTTCTGTTGTGTCTTGTACTTGTACCTGTATTTTAAAAAGGCTTATTTTGTTCTCTTTTTACCTTTTGTTATTTAATTTAAACTTTATACCTAGTTGACAATTATTTATGTTAAATAATCTCTGTTAAATAACCAGTGTAATTTCTGTCCCGATTTTTTTTTTTCTTTCTTGACAGGCCAGTGAGATTTATCCATGTTGACACATGGAGCTGTGGTTCATTGTCACCTCTTGTCCATTCCGTTGGTGGGCAGGTGAGGTGGTTTCCAGTACGGGGCCATCATAGGGGTGCCACTGTGAGCGTTCTTGCGCCTGCCTTTTGGTGAGCATGCATCCGCCTTTCTGTTGGGTATGGATGTACATACCAAGGGAGGAATTGCTGGGTCCTAGGATAGACGTCTGTTCAGCTTCAGCCAGTTGTCCAAAGTGGCGGTACCTGTTTACATCTCTCCTGTAGCGTGTGAGAATTCTGGGTGCCCCCCTTTCTGCCCTTGCCAGTGTGCGGTGTTGGGAGTTTTTCACTGTAACCCCTTCAGTGGGTGTCAGCTCCATTTAGTGAGTCCCCCCCACTCCTCTGTCATTTTTGTCATGTAACAAGTTTCACAGGCGTGTGAATCTGTTTCTGGACTGTCCATTCCAGTGATAAGTCTGTCTGTCCCTCCACCAGTGTCCCTAGCCACATGTCCCTGCGTTCTTCTAGGAAAGCCTTTGGGGCCACAGTGGCTCTGCGAAGGACCTGTGACCCTGGTGTCGGGCGTGCATGGCCGGCGCGTGGGGCTTCCTCAGTGCCAGCTGCAGGGAGTGGGGGCCAGGCGGGGTTGAGCCGAGGGTCTCTCGGGGGCCGCAGTGTGGGGCCATGGTCAGGGCTGTGATTGGGACTGAGCCGAGGGCCATCCATGGGGCACAGTGGGAACTCTCTTGGAGCTGGTTCTCTGTGGAGTTGAGCTCAGGGACTCGAGGGGCTCAATTTGGACGCAACAGGAGGGGTCCTGTGGGGCTCTGACCAGGGCCTGGTGCAGAGGCTGTGGGAGGTGAGGGCCTCCCAGGCCAGTGTGGGGTCGCCTCAGGGCTCAGCACTCCCGTGGTGCCGGACTGGGGCCTTGGCTGTGTGCCGTGGCTGCCCGGCTCTGGGTGGCCTTCAGGGAGGGCAGCAGGACTCAGCCAGGCCCTCCCCTGCTCCCTGACCTTTGCCGGGATCAGGTGGCAGGTGTCCAGTCCTGGCCTGAGCCCAGTGCAGGGTTCAGCCCTCTCTGTGCTCCTCACACACTAGATGACCTCGGGCAGGCCCTGCCCTTCTTGACTCTGTTCATTCAGCCAGTATTTCCGCTCCTCCTGATCCCAGGCACTGCGGTAATTGTCCCCATCGTTCAGAGTAACAGGGACCCCAGCCCTGCAGAGCCTGCTTACATGTGGTGAGTGAGCAGCTGTAGCCGCCTGCATTGCTGACCACATGGCTGAAATGGCTCTCCGGCCCAGGAGGGTGCAGTAGAGAGCACCCCTGGCAGCTGCCTGGGGCTGACCTGACCGTCTGTCCCACCTGTCCATTCCCGCATCTCTCCCTGAGCTACAGGGAGGCTCCCTCCTCAGTCTCCACAGCCTCCCTGTTCTTCCAGGGGCACTGAGGTGACCCTGGTGACCCAGGCTCCGGTCCTGAAGGGCTGTATGACCTTGACCCCTGTCCCCAGAGAGGCCCAGAACCCCCCACACCTCTCTCCCTCCCAGCGGGCGTTTCCCTCAGCACCTCTGTCCACGCCCCACTGCAGGTCTGGTCTCAGCTGAACCTTGGGAGTGGGGGGCGGGGGGGTGGAGGGAGGACTGTGCAGCCACTGGGGATGGGAGAAGGTGGGAGTGTGTTCAGGGCTTGGGGTGCCCTTACCGCGCGCACCACACACACAGACCCACACACAGACCGGAAGCAGTGCTCAGCCTTCTATTAGAAACTCCGCCTCCCCTGGGACAAGCGACACGCCCCCCCAGCACCTTCTGGAGCACACTCCCGGTGGGGTGGGGTGGGGGCAGGGTGGAGGGGGGTCTGTCGTCCTGTCCTCTGAGAAGGAATGGTGGTGAGGTTTGTGTGTTTGTGGCAGTGGCTGGGAAAGGGCTTTCATGCCCTGCATGGGGTGCACATGAAGTGGTGTCCCAGGGCAGGACACAGGGCCCGTCCTGTGGGGACAGCCCGTTCCAGGCAGGCAACAGCTGAGGCCCAGGCTCTCCTGTGGGGTGTCCCTGCAACCCCCAGGCCCAGCCCTCTGGCCCAGATCCCTGGACGATCCTTCTTGGAGGGTCACAGTGGGCACACCGGCCTCACGCTGGCTGTGTGACCCGTGCCTGGCACTGCTCTCCTGGCCTGTTTCCTCCCCTGGGAGCCAGGCCCCTAACCCCTCAGAGGGAGGCTCCCCTGGGGGAGTCCCATGGGCACGGGGCAGGTGCAGACTGCGTGTGGGGGGAGCAGGGGACTGGGACAGGGGCCTGGGCCTGGGGGCCGGGGAGCCTAGTCGTCTTTGTCCTTGGCACCATGTTTGAGGATGCGGGTGAACTCCACGTAGTTGAAGTTGCCCTTCTTGTCAATGGGTGCCTCGCGGTACATCTCATCTACTTCCTCGTCTGTGAAGCGGTCGCCCATGGTGGTGAGCAGCTCCCGAAGGTGGTCCTCGTGGATAAAACCTGGTGGCGGGGCCAAGGGCCATGAGACACCGGGGCTCAGGCTGGGACACAGCCAATATCTCCTACCTCGTCCCCCAGCCAGTCCTTGCAGAACTTGTCACAGGGCATGGGGTCCCAAAATGACACAGGCCTATCCTCTGGGCGGGTTGTGCTTGCCGGGGGCCCAGAAGGAAGAGTTCGGCAGTGGGACTGTCTGCGAGGTGTTTCTGTGGAAAATCTGGGGCCAGGTGTGGGGGGCTGGGCACGTCCCACCTTAAGAGCATGAGGCCCAGAGTTCTACTACCTGCATTTGAATGCTGATCCCCCTTCTTCCTAGCCGTGTGACTTTAGGGAAGTTCCTTACCCTTTCTGTGCCTGTCTGAACTGGAAAATGGGGATGAAAACAATGGCGACCCGGTAGGGGACTGTGAAGGTAGCCAGGAAAATGCTCTGAGCACACTTAGGCCTCTGGTCCCCAAGGCCTTACTGGAACTGTCGCCGCCAGCCTCACTCTGGCCTGACCCTGGGAAGAACTAGCTGTGGGACAGGAAGTCCTTTGGAAGATTTGAGGGTGGGGCTGGTTTCTGTTGGTGAAAAGGGTTTGTTTTCTGGAAAGGTCCAAAGCAGAGATAGAGTGTGCTGGGAAGTGGGAGGCCTGGGTGGGTGTGGACTGTCTGGGTTTAGCATCTGGGGAGAAGGCAGCGCGCGTTTCTCAGATCTGGCCAGCAGAGGGGGATTTCGGTTCGGGCCTGTGGGGGCAGGGACCCCGAGGCCCAAGCCCAGCTGCCCCGCATGGGAGGGCCCTAGGCAAGGAGCGCAGCCCAACCCTGCCCAGGCCTCTAGGAGGCTGCCCACCTGAGGCCTCCTCATCAAAGCAGGCAAAGGCGTTGCGGATCACGTCCTCAGGGTCCGTGCCGTTCAGCTTCTCCCCAAACATGGTCAGGAACATGGTGAAGTTGATGGGGCCGGGGGCCTCGCTCATCATGCCCTCCAGGTACTCATCCGTGGGGTTCTTCCCTGTGGCGGGCAGGGCATTCATGCCTGTTGTCATCGCCTGTTCCCTCCCCCCTCCCCGGCCCTCCCTTCATGGCCCCGTGGGAGAGTGCAGCACACAAGAGACAGGGTCTTGCTGGGTGGCCACTGTCCTACTGCCTGCTCCCTGGCGTCCTCCTGGCTCTTGCTGCTTCCCTCCTGGGGGCTGGATATCCAAGATCAGAGGTGCTCTTGAACCTGTGAGAGCCGCCCCCTTGTCGCTGGTGCTTCACCTGCCTTGCTGCATTAACTTATTAACTCTCACCGCCCTGTGAGGTTGGTGTTCTTACAGCCACTTCACAGGTGTGGAACCTGAGGCACAGAGGTGAGGTGACTTTGGACGCACAGTGAAGAAGGAGTGGAGCTGGCATTCAAACCCAGGCAGCCAGACTCCAGATTCCAGGCAGTTTCTAAAGTGGTTAAAACAGTGAGGCTTGGTCCTGGTTGGCATGGCTCAGTTGGTTGGAGTCCCGTTCTGAGCACTGAAAGGTTCTGGGTTTGATTCCCCGTCAGGGCACATAGCTAGGTTGTGGGTTCAATCCCTGTGGGTTTCATAGGTGTGGGGCATGTATGAAATGCAACCAATCGATGTTTCTCTCTCTCCCCCCTCCCCCCCCAAAAAACAATGAAAAAATGTTCTCAGTTGAGAATTAAAAAAAATTAAAAAACAAAACAAAACACCGAGGTTTGGTGTCATACAGGCCCTGTGCCTCAGTTTCCCCTTCCTCTTAGGTGATTTATGAAGATGATGAAGGCAGTTGTTGTAAAATGCACATGATTTGTGGAGCCCTATGGACTCAAATCAACTGCTGGGTTCAAATCCCAGCTCTGTCACTTAGTAGCTGTGTGACCTTGAATTACTTAACCTCTCTGAGCTGCTGTTTCCTCATTTGTAAAGTGGAAAGCACATCTACCCAATAGGATTGCTTTGAGATTTAAGATCGCAAAGATTTAAAATTTAAAACCTGCAGAGCTTCTTATTATCTTATTATTTGTTGCTCTTGCTCTTGTTTTCTTAACCTAAGGGCGACGCTCCCAAGCAGAAGGCTGTGACTGCTCAGCGGGCCCACTGACGTGAGCGGCGAACAGCAGTGGGATCTCTCGCGCAGGCAGCCAGGGCCCTGGGCGCACGGAGCTGCCTCATAAATGGGAAGGAGTCTCCGTGTCCCTGTCTCCTCTGAGCCCCACTCACCCTGCTGTGTCTTCAGGGATGACTGAGGCCCAGGAGGAGCTGTGACACGAGGACCCATAGTCCCTGCCCTCATCAGGCCTCAGTCCTCTTTGCAGGGTGGCCTCCTTGGGGAGGGAGCCTTCAAGTGAGTCCAGCTGGAAGCCGGGAGAGTTTTGGCACCCACAACTCCTACCATCTGATGTCAGCCCTCCTACCAGACCCTCTAGGAGCGCACATGAGGGACCTGGGCCCGAGCAGGGCCACCCACCCAGCTGTGACCAGCAGTGCCCGGGAATGACACAGGCCTGTGTGGCTCCAGAGCTTCAAGGCTTGACCACCATAGGCTGCCTCGCCTGCTGCCAGAGGCTCTGCCTCTTCCCCAGCCAGCGTCTGGCCCAGGCGTTCCCACCTGCATAAAGGGGGTACCAGGAGCTGGGGCTCAGGGCTGCTGTCTGGCCAGCCCATAAGGAGGGCTGTGGGTGGAGCAGGTGGTGTCTGGAGGCCTGGCCTCTGGGCCTCAGTTTCCCCATCCAAGCGATGGTGAATTGTACTAGGTTCCTGAGCCCCTTCAGCTAAAGGATTCTGATTTTGGGGAAGTCACTGAAGTCGGAGAGGTTCTGAGCCTGGCACAGGAGACCTCTAAAGGAGGGGAGGGCCTCTGGCCTCCCCCCAGGCCTGTTTCCCCATCAGTACAATGGGAAGTCTGTGCAGTTCAGGCTTTCTTTTAGTCACTGACCCCTTTCTTTAAATGAGATGGTACCGGGCAGCCCAACCCACGCATCTGCCTGAGGCAGTCCTGCCCTGGAGCGAGCCTGTCTGGGTTTGTATCCAGCACCAAACTGCTCTGTGCCTCAGTTTCCCTATCTGTTAAATGGAGAAGGTCATGGCACCTCCTCACCAGGGCGGGTACCCCATGCCACTGCACAGGAAGTGCTCCCTAAGTGATGAGCAGCCCCAGCCTGCTCCAGTTGCGGCCCTTCCCAGGCCCACTTGGACCCCGCCCACCCCCGTCCCTGCTCACCCAGGGAGGCCAGCATGTCATGCAAGTCCTCCTTGTCGATGAAGCCGTCTCGGTTCTGGTCGATCATGTTGAAGGCCTCCTTAAACTCCTGGATCTGGGACTGGTCAAACATCGCAAAGACATTGGATGTGGCCCGCTGTGGCCGCTTCTTGGTGGTCTTGGCCTTGGCCCGCTTACTGGACATCTTGGCTTCAGGTGGGTGGGGCTTCCCTGAAGAAAGTGCATGTGGAGGGAGAGCCGGTGACCCCAGGGCAGGGAACTCTGCCCACCCCAGATTGGCTGGCATTCAACGCTTCCCACAGGCTTGGGGCTCCTGCCACTCAGCTCACCCCAAAGCAGACACGCAAGGCCCTTGAACAGCTTCCCCTGCCTCTCTGAGGGAGCTTCCCCGCCTGAGAATAGGGGCATGAGGAGAGCCTGGCAGCAGTGAGTGACTGACTTGGTGCCCGAGGAGGCCCTGGGACGGTGCCAGGCACAGAGGAAGCTATTTTTACTGTGACTGTTTGGGTAAAACACTTAGGATGGGGTTCAAAGCCAGCCATTTCCGGGCTTATCTCCTTCAATCCTTAATAGCATTACACACTGCCCACCTCTCTCCAAGTGACATGGTGGGGCTCCCTGCCATACCTCCCCACCCCCCCCGCCCCCCGCCCCCCCGCCCTCAAATCCCTCTGTGCTTCTGGAGGTTCAGGGAGACCAGTGCCCTGGGCACTTCCCCTCCTCACAGCTGCCCGCACCTGACCAGCCCCTAGGTGGGTGACAGGCCTGATTTGGGCCCTGCTCCTTGTTCTCACTCCTCGGTGCGTATAGGGGTGCAAAGCCCCCCCGGCTGAGAGCCCCAGCTGGTTGTCACCCTTGTTCAGACCTGGCCTTCTAGCCTCCAGCCAGTCTCTCCCATTCACGCAGACAGAGACCTCTCCCTGTCACTCCCCGACCTTGAAACCCTCAAGGTTCCTGCCACTGCCTGGCGCGAGTCTAGGCCCCTCAGCCTGGCATTTAAGGGCCTTTGCTCTGAGTGACCAAAGGACTCCTCACTGTGTCCCTCCTGCCAAGCTGGACCTTTAGCTGCACACTAGACACTCCCAGACTTGCCCTCTTGGTCCCTCCCCTGGGAAGTGCTTCCTTCTCCAGCCTAGTTCTTTTTTTTTTTTTTTAATGACTTTATTTATTTACTTTTAGAGAGAGGAGAATGGAAAGAGAAAACAAGGGAGAGAAATATCAGTCAGTTGCCTCTCTCACGTCCCCAACTGGGGACCCGACCCACAGCCCTGGCATGTGTCCTGACTGGGAATTGAACAGGTAACCTTTCGGTTCGCAGGCTGGCACTCAGTCCACTGAGCCACACCAGCCAGGGCATCCAACCCAGTTCTTGAGACACCCCTGGGGAGTAGTTCCCCCACCTTTGTTTTGACAGTCAGCACTTAAAGGTCTTTCTGGCCCTGGCCGGGAGGCTCAGTAGGTTGGAGCATCGTCCCATACCCCAAAAGGTTGCAGGTTCAGTCCCTGGTTTAGGTGTGTTTAGGAGGCAACTGACATGTTTCCTTCTCTGCCTTCCTCTCTAAACGTATCCCTGGGCGAGGATTTAAAAAAAAAAAAAGTCTCCTTCACAATCGACCAAGCTGGCATAGATCCAGATGTACACCAAAGCCCACAGTGGGGCCACTAGATGCTTGTTTATCAAATGACTGCTGGTCTGCTGCCCCCACTGCACAGATGGGGAGACAGGCCTGGCATGGACTCTCCCTGAGCCCTTGGTATGCTTGTGGGCACTGCCCCTGGAGACCTAGAGCTGTGTACCCCCGGCTGGGGCAGTTTTGGGTCTGGCCAAGGCCCCAGGCTGCTGCCCCCTTTCCTCTGTGTTGAGTCCCTTGGCCCAGGGCCTCCCGGAAGCCTTCTCTGCCTTGTTGTTTTTAACCCCAAATCGTGCGGCTGTGGGTGCCCCTTGAGCTGTCTCCAAGCCTCTCTCCCATGCTCCTGTTCAAGGAATTCTCGGGGTTTGCCCTGTGAGATCTTACATTCTGGGCTGCACCCTGGCCAGCCCTAGTCCTCCCCCAGGGCCCCTGCCGCCGTGAGACGCAGGCTGCTGCGCCGCGTCCCGCTCGGCTGCCACACCTGACCCTCACATGGTCAAGGGCAGGTAGGCAAAAGCCCTTCTCACCCATGACCTGAGTGGGATGGTGCCGTTGGCCGGGAGCGCCATTCTCTCCGTGGTTTAGTGCTTTTAGGAGCCCTGTCCTTCCCTGGGCCCGGTGTTCTCCGGGAGCCCCAACTCACGTGCCCACCGAAGGAGAGCATGCAGAGGCTCTGCCGGGCATCGCCTCTCATGGCTGCAGCGTTAAGGCAGGAGTGGCCCGGAGCTCACCCACTGCTCTGACAGTCGGGGGGCCCCTCTGCCTTCACGACTGCCCATCCGCACCCTCTTCTATCGAGGGGCGGTGCCATGGCTGGGAGCAGGGAACTTTACAGCGTGTCCACCCCAGCAGTCGTGGGAAGTAGGGTGGGGAAGGTAGGGTGCCCCTCACTGTGCAGTTAAAAGAACTGAGGCCTAAGAAGGGCCTTACAGTGCCTTTGAGAGTGGCAGAGTCCAGTCGGAAGCCAGGACCCCCGGGGCTAGGCTTGGGTCAGAGGCCGCCCATGGCCCTTGGCGCCCTCCAGGCCTGAACACAGAAGGCAGGCTCCTGGTGGCCTGTGGCGGCAGAGGCTCCGTGTGACCAGACGCAGTTTTCAGGTTTGGCCGAGGGGCTGGGATCAGGACAGGCTGGGCCCCCAGCCTGGAGCATCGCCTCCCCCTGCTGGGTGTCCTGGACACCAGGGGTCAGATAGAGTTGGTACTTGGCCTGGTTTTAACTAGGTGCCACCTTCCCTCTTCTGGTGCCTGAAATCCCCCCATAACATCAAAGATGAGGCCCGTGCCCGCCATTACCTCACAGTCCCTGTGGCTGGCTGTGCCAGATGCCTCGCCCATGAACTCACCCCATCGGCGCTGGGGGTGAGCAGGGCTGGAGTCTCTTGCCTGGCCCCCAGGGCCGGGCCCACAGGGCCCTTGGCAGACCTTCCCCACCCAAAAGGCGCAAAGGGGCAGATGGCCCAGAGCCAGGAAACCCGGGTGGTGGCCACAGCTTTGGTGCCTACGGGGTGCGGTTACCTACCACGACTATCCCTCTCTTCTTGCTCCAGGAGATGGGGTAGGGGGCAAGGATGCCCTGGAGGCGCCTCAAGAAGCCTGATAGGGCACAGTTTCCTGTTTGAGACACATGGGTCTGCTGGGACAGGGAACACCTGCAACCAGAACACTGACCCTCCCGGGCACCCCAGAGCTCTGAGCTTCGTGACTCTAATTCCATAGAAAAGGGACAGGGCCCAGACAGTCTTCCCGTGCCAAAGAGCCGCTGGTTCCCAGAGCCCAGAACTGTCTCCCTGCTACCCCCGCGCCTGCCCCCGCCGGAATCCCTGACGACCCCAGCCCCTCGCAGCCCCAAATCCTGCGACAGGCGGCTGTCCTTGGCCAGAAATACCACGACATCCCGTCTGAGGGGTCTGCCCCAAGTTCCAGCCTTGGCTGTCACACCGCCTACTGTAGACCACCTGGGCGGCACCCACCTGGTGAGGAGAAGGCGCTGTTTCCTTGCGCGGAGGTGGTGCGGAGCCGGGTGCTGGGTGCAGAGAGCCCTGTGCGAAGCGAGCGGCGTCGGGTTAGGGACGGGCTAAGCGGGGGCGGGGCGCGGCGCAGGGCCTTACAAGGCAAAAGAATGTGCGCCCTGCGGGGCGGGGCTTGGGCCACCAGCCCGGCCTTATTTGGCCTCCACCCACGGGCTGGGAGGCCCGGTCGCTGCTGGTGGTCCCCACAGACTACCCCCTCCGTTCCTGCGACGAGGGCCCCTCCCCTTCACTGCAGACGGGGGAGGTGATGGGGTTGAGTTGGGGGAGTCAGTACAGCCTGCCAAGGGGGATTTATCTGGAGGTTCCCCTGCTCTCCAGCGAGGCAGGCAGAACATCCAGGGGCCTCCGGTTCCCAGATCCTACTCCCAGCTTTCCCCGCAAAGCCCCACTGCCCCGCGCCGTTCCTGGCGGAGACCTTCTTTCCACCAGACCAAGTATGGCTTTTTTCCAGTCCGAGAGGAGAATGCGTCAGAGACGACGTGCTATCCTCAGGGAAAAGACTGCCAGTCGGGCCCCTGCGGGGGCGGGGCGCACGTAGGGGTCAGGGAGGCCCGCCCTGGTGGCAGCCCACCGCCTGTAAAGTGAGAGGGTGGTGGGGAGGATTCCGTGCAAGAGTAGTCAGGAAAAGCCCCGTAGAGGAGCCAGCCAGAGGGGCGGGGGCAGGGGCAGGGGGCCTAGGGTGCATCCTCAGGGTGGCAGCTCCGTCAGGCACCGGTCCGTCCATCATTTTGATCTGTTAGGCCCTGTCCGGACCCCAGCCCACTCTCTCTCCCGGCCGCTTTGGTCCAACGCAGACGTTCCCAAGGGAACTTTCCAACGCCCAACTCCTTGTTCTGTAAATATTAACAGACACCTACCACCCGCCAGGCTCTGTGCTGGGGGACCGGGGAACCAACAGTCTACGTACTCAGGAAGTATTTGTTCTTGTGGAGAAAACAACAACAACAAAGGACAAGTAGCTACGTGGCTTGGAGGGTAGAAATAAGTGCCTTGGAGGAGAATAAAGCAGGGTGAAGGGAGAGAGTAACGGCGTGCGTGTGGGGTGCCTTCCGGGAAGTGACACCGGGCAGACCTGAGGGAGGGCCGCGCCAGGGCCAGGTCGGAAGCCCTGTAGGGGACGCTTGCCCAGCTCACGGTCGGTGGGGGCGGTGGGGGCGGGCGGCGTGACTGCGGGGAGGGAGCCGGGGAGAGAGTTGGCAGGGGACGGTGAGACACAGCAGGGACCTCGCCCGTGGCTCCTTGGAGGCCACTGTGAGACACCAGAGTTCTGAATAGAAGGGGGCACGATGTGGCCTCTGGTTCCGCTGAACCCCTCTGCGTGCCGCGTTGAAAATGGACTGAGGCGGCCCGCGTTGGGCCGCAGCAGGGGGGCCTCCGCCAGAGATGTGTTAAGGCCCGTGTGGGAGCAGCGGAGGTTGAGTCCAACAGGATGTGCGAGGCAGCGTGAGAGAGTCCGGGGCGGCGGGAGGAGGGGGGCGGGGCGCTTTGCGCTGAGCAGCAGGGAAGCGGCGCTGCCGCGCCTAAGGCAGGCCGGCTGTGGGAGGGGCAGCAGTTCTGCTTTGGACAGATTGCTTTCTGTCCAAATAGTTTGAAACACTGTTTCAAACTTACGATGAAATTATAAAAATTGCAAAGAGCTGCCATATACCTTCATCCAGATTCTCCAGTTATTAACATTTGGATTTATTATGTTCTCTGGCTCTGTCCCCTGCCTCTCTCTCCATGTGGGTATGTTAAAGTAACATAAAATGTACCATTTTAACCATTTTTAAGTGTCCAGTTCAGTGGCATTAAGTACATTCGTGTTGTTCTACAACAATAACCACCATCTACCTCCAGAAGCTTTCCATCTTCCCTAACCGAAACCCGTACCCATTAAATAGTGGTTATTCCTCTCCCCCGCCCGCCCCCGCCACTGGGCAGCTGCCATTTTACTTTGTTTTTAAGAATTATTGACTGTAAGTACCTCACCTAAGTGGAATCATACAGGATATTTACTTTGAGACTGGCTTATTTCACGTAGCACACACACTATCCTCAAGGTTCACCCATGTTGTATAGCCTATGTCAGGATTTTCTTCCTTTTTAAGGCTGAGTAATGTTCCGTGGTGTGGAGAGACTGCGTTTTGCTTCTGCGTTCATCTGTCGATGGTCATTGGGGTTGTGCCTGCCTTTTGGCTACTATGAATAATGCTGCTCCTAACAGAGGTGTACAATATCCTCCCCCCTCTTTGAAAAACTTTTTAATAGCATTTATCACAACAAATTGTATGTATTTTATTTTTTTTTGGTTTATAAATTTTATTTACTATGGCCTTTTGACATGATTTTTAAATTTTTCAATTACATTTGATGTATAACATTATATTAGTTTCAGGGGTACAACCCGGTGATTAGACATCTAATTTATGAAGTGATCATCCCAGTAAACACATAGTTATTACAGTATTGACTGTATTCCCTGTGCTGTACTTTATATCCCCATGATTATTCTGTAACACCGATCCGTAGTTCTTAATCCTTTTACTTTTTCACCCATCCCCACAACCCTCCTCCCATTTAGCAACCTTCAAAATGTTCTCTATTTATGAGTCTATTTCTGTTCTGTTGTTTATTTTGTTATTTAGATTCAACATATAAGTAAAATCATCTGGCATTTATCTTTGTCTGACTTATTTCACTTAACCTAGCATATCACATTCCCACCATGGGAATAATAATAATGTTATATCCCTAGAGGGATATAATTATACCCTCTAGGTCCATCCATGTTGTTGCAGATGGCAAGATTTCATCCTTTTTTATGGCTGAATCATATTCCATTGTATATATACACCACATCTTTTTTATCCATTCATCTATTGATGGGCATGTAGGGTTGTGTTCTTATCTTGGTTGTTGTACATCATGCTGCAATGAACAAATGGATGCATACGTTGTTTTCAATTGAGTGTTTTGGGTTTCTTTGGATCAATACCCAGAAGTGTAGTTGCTGGGTCTTCATTTCTTGTTATAGTCTTTGTTTTAAAGTCTATTTTGTCTGGTCTAAGTATTGCTACTCTAGCTTTTTTGTTTCCATTTTCATGAAATATTTTTTTCTATCCCTTTTACTTTCAGTCTGTATGTGTGTTTGTATCTGAAGTGAGCCTTTTGTAAACAGCGTATGTAAGGTCTTATTTGTTACCTATTCAGTCACCTTATACCTTTTGATTAGAGCATTTAATGTAATTGTTGCTAGATATGTATTTATTGCCATTTTATTATATTTTTTTCCTTTTTCTTCTTTTTCTTTTTAAAGAAGACCCTTTAACATTTCTTGTAATACTGGTTTGGTGGTGATTAACTTTTTTTTTTTGTTTGGGAAGCTGTTTATCTGTCTTTCGATTTTGAATGGTATCTTTGCTGGGTAGAATGATTGTGGTTTTAAGTCCTTCCTTTTCATCACTTTGGATATTCCTTGCCACTCCCTGCTGGCCTGCAAAGTTTCTGCTGAGAAATCTTCTGACAATCTTGTGGGAGCTCCCTTGTAGGTAACTACTAACTGTATTTCTCTTGCTGCCTTTAAGATTCTCTTTGTCTTTAACCTCTGGCATTTTAATGATGTATCTTGGTGTGGACCTTTTTGGGTTTATCTTGTTTGGGACTCTCAATGCTTCCTGGACTTACACATCTATTTTGTTCACCAGGTTAGAGAAGCTTTCTGTCATCATTTTTTCAAATAGGTCTTCAGTTTCTTGTGTTCTCTCTTCTGGCACGCCCACGGTGGGAATGGGATGTGCTTGAAGTTGTCCCAGGGGCTCCTTACACTATCCTCATCTTTCTGATTTTTTTCTTTTTGCTGTTTGGTTGGGTGTTTTCTGCTTCCTTATCTTCCAAATTGCTGATCTGATCCTCTGCTTCATCTACTCCATTGTTGATTCCCTGCCATGTAGTCTGCATTTCAGTTAGTATGTCCTTCATTTGTTTTTCTTTTTAAGTGGTTTCTTTGTCCTTTTTTATGCTTTTGAAGTTCTTGCTAAGTTCCTTGAGCATCCTTATAAGCATTGTTTTGAACTCTGTATCTATAGTTTGCCTTCATTTCACTGAGTTCTTTTCTTGGAGATTTCTCCTGTTCTTTCATTTGGGATGCATTTCTTTGTCTCCTCATTTTGTCTGCTTTCCTGAGTTTGTTTCTTTGAATTAGGTAGAGCTGCTTCATCTCCTGTACACCATGTGGGCTATGTAGTCAGTGTCCTGTGAGGCCCAGTGGCGCAGCCTCCCCGGGTCACCTGAGCTGGTGCTCCAGGTGTGCACTCTGTGTGGGCCACGTGCACTCTCCTGTTGTAGTTGAGCCTTGATTGTTTTCGGCAGGTCACTTGCAGTTGACCCCCAGGCCAATTGGCTGCAAGGGCTGGCTGCAACTACAGTGAAGGAGATGCTGTGCAGGAGCCAACCCCATAGATCAGGACTTGTTTCAATGGGGCTTTGGTGCCTGCTGAGTCCATGCTTTGAGTGTGCTGGTCATGGAGGTGGTTGGGTTGTATTCCCACATGGTCTGAAGCTGTCTATTGGGTGCCCTGGCTCTTGGGGCACCTGGCATGCACTACAGAGTGATCTGAGATGGCTGCTAGTTGTGCTGGGCTTGGAGGTGCCCGGGGGGGGGCGGGGCAAGCTGCCAACTGAGGCAGGCTTGCCAGGCCTGGGGGCACTTAGCGATATACAGGGTATACAGAGGCCAGATGCTGCTTGTTTGAAGAAACAAGCATTTAGGAAAGTCTGAAGCATGCAAGAGGCTATTTGTATGGAAAAGCCCCTGAAAACAGTTTCAGGGGTCCTGCAACTGTTGGATGGGGCAGGTTCTCAAGGAATCACTAGGGTGGAGAGAACAGTGTTAGCCAGGCTGACAGAGACTCAGATGTAGATGTGGCGCCTGTCAGTTCTGTGCGTGGATGTCTCAGAAAGGAACAAATGTCTCTGCCAGCACTTCTGTCTGGGAGAAAGCTGTGTGCCCCACCCCCAGGTCTTGCCTTGATGACAGACAATTCAGTTCTTCCCTGTATGTCCCTAGTTCTTTTCAAGCTGCTGCCCCAGTTGCTGGAGCTTAGAGAGAGTGAGTCTGAGCAAGTCCGCCTGCAGGCCCTTCAAGAACACCTGGGACTCCAGAAGCACACACTCTCAGCCACAATCCGCTCTGGTTTTCACAGCCAGAAGTTATAAGGCCTTCTCTTTCTGGCACTGGAGCCCTAGGATGACTGTTCTGATGTGGGGCTGGGACCCCTTGCTCCTTAGTGACCTCTGCAGGTGAGCTATTCCTCCTGGTTTTTAACCGCCACACATAGGTGTGGGACCAGTCCATTCTGGGTCTCTGTCACTCCAACCAGTCTCAGTGTGGCTTCTTTATATCCATAGTTATAGGACTTCTGTCCAGCTAGATTTCAGGTGGTTCTGAATGATGGTTGTTCTATAGTTTAGTTGTAATTTTGATGTGGTTGTGGGAGGTTCCAAGCACTGCATTTATCTACTCTCATCTTGACTGGAAGCTACAAATGCATTTTGAGGTCCTGCTTTTGAATTTTTGGTGTATATACCCAAGAAGTGAAATTGCTGGATCACTTGGTAATTGTTTTTAATTCTCGTGAGGAACTATTTTTCACAGAAGCTGTACCATTTTACATTCCCACCAACAGTGCACAAGGCTTCCAATTTCTCCACATCCTTGCCAACACTTATTTCCTGTTTTTCTTCTTTTTAAATAATAGCCATCAATGGGTGTGAAGTATTATCTCATTGTGGTTTTAATTTGCATTTCCCTGATAACTAATGTTAAGCATCTTTTCATGTGGTTACTGACCATTTGAACATCTTCTTTGGAGAAATGTCTATTGAAATTCTTTACTCATTTAAACAATCAGGTTTTGAGTTATAAGAGTTCCTTATACACATATTCTGGATGTTAATTCCTTATCAGGCATATGATTTGCAAAAATATTCTCCCATTCTGTGGGCTTCTGTTTAAAATTTTAAAGAAAATTATGAAATTCACTCTTTTCAAGAAAGTTTACAATTCAGTGGTTTTAGAATATTCACAAAGTTCAACAACCATCACCCCTAGGCAATTCCCGAACATTTTCATCACCCCAAGAAGAACTTGGAACTCAACAGCAGTCACTCCCCACCCCTTTTCCTCCCATGCCTTGGCGACACTAATTTATCTTTTGTTTCTGGATTTGTTTACTCTGGAAATTTAATGTAAATGGAATCACACATGTCGCCTTTTGTGGTGGGCTTTTTTCACTTCGCATAATGTTGTCAAGGTTCATTTATGGTGTAGCATGTGTCAATACTTCATTTTATTGCTCAATAATATTCTGTTCTATTGCTATACCACCACCTTTTGTTTGTTTTCTTCAGTTGATGACCATTTAGGTTGTTTCCGTCTTTTGGCCATTATGAATGTTGTTGCAGTGAACACTGGTGTACAAGTTTATGTGTGGATGTGTCTTTTCATTTTTTTTTGATATGTATCTACAATTGCTGTTATTTGGTAACTCTTATGCTTAAAGTTTTGAAGGACTTTCAAACTATTTTTCACAATACTGTCCCATTTTTATATTCTCACCAGTAATGTGTAAGGGTTCTGGTTTCGCCACATCCTAATACTTTTCTTCTAGTCATCCTGCTGGGTGTGAAGTATTTCATTGTGTTTTTGATTAGTATTTCTCTAATGACTAGTTACGTTGAACATCTTTTCATGTGCTTTTTGGACATTTATTTTTTGGAGAAATGGTAATTCACATGTTTTTTCCATTTTTAAATTTTGTTACTGGGTTGCAAAGGTGCTTTCATGTGTTCAAGCTATTCTTCCATTCTGTGGGTTATTGTTTCATTTCCTTGATAGTTTCAAGAAGCGCGTTTTTAATTTTATGGGGTTTACTTTTCCTTTGGTTTCTTACGGTTTTGGTATTGTATCCAAGGAACCACTGCCTTATCCAATGAAAACTTTCACTTGTTTTTTTAAAAACATTTTTATTTATTTTTAGAAAGAGGGGAAGGCAGAGGAGAGGGGGAAAAGAAACATCAATGTGCATTTGCCTCCTGCATGCCCCCAGCTGGGAATCTGGCCCACAACCCAGACATGTGCCTTGACTGGGAATCAAACCAGTGACCCCTTGGTTTTGTAGGCCAGCACTCAATCCATTCAGCCACACCAGCCAGGGCTACACCTCTGTTTTATTCTAAGAGTTTCAGCTCTTACATTTAGGTCCCTAATCCATGGGGACTCTGCAAGGCTTGGCGACCTACAACCCGGGGAAAGCAGGTGGCGTAGGAAGGGTGCCTGGGCCTCCCTGCTGTTCAATCCACAGCCCTGTGGGTGGTTCTCAGGGCCCCAGGGAATGTGCCATGCACATGACTGTCAGGGTGGAGGCAGCTGCTGGGTGGGGGGTACTGAGAACCCCCATCTTGGGACATGTGCTGAGTTGGGTCTGTGTATAACACCTACCTTACCAGCTTCTTCTGAGAAATAATTAACAATGTATGGGAGCCGAGACGGGCTGCATTCATTGACAAGTTGTCCCCCCTACCCCCACCACACACACCCAGTTCAGCACCTGTCCAGGTGAGGGAACTGAGAGCTCAGTTTCCTTGCCCAGGCTCATGGTGCTGGTGGGTGACAGAGCTGGGATTCCCATCGGTGCTCAAGTCGGCCTGGCTCCACGGAGCTGCCACTTGGAAGAAGGCCCAGCTCAGGCCCCTGAGGAGTCCACTCCTTCCGCCTCCTGCCCACCTAGCCCGTCCCACTGCAAAAACACCATGAGCCCTTGGTACACATTATCTCATTTATTCTCACAACATGCCTGTGAGGTAGGGAGGGGCAGGGGCTGTCCCCGTTTTACAGAGGAGGAAGTTGAGGCACACAGAGGTCAAGTGACTTGCCCAAGGTCACAGACGGCGGCCAAGCTGGAATAGGGCCCCAGTGCAGGCCCTCGGTTTACCCGGGGACCCCCTGCAGCAAGTGCTGGACATGAGGACGTCTCCAGTACTGTGGTCTGCACAGAGTAGGAGCAGCGCCCGTGCACTGAGCTTGCTGCAGGCCGGGCCTCCCCTCCCCCTGCCCCCCCAACCCTGCCCCGCCCCGCCCCGCAGGCTGGGCCGTGGCAGCTCGGGGCTCAGGATGCCCTGGGAGTGGGGCTGAGGCAGGGGAAAGAGGATGGTTGGGGTTAAAAAAAAATAAACAGGAAACTCAGAGGCTAGGCAGGGGGGAGACCGAGGAAAAAAGAAGGGGGAGGGGGCTGCTTACACACAAGGTATATATTTTTACACACACTTGTACACACACCTAGATATAGTACATGTAAAAATATATGCTATTCACACACCCGCCTCCTGCCAGGTGCCCCGAGAGCCAGCGGTGGCGCTGGTGGGCATGGGTGAGCAGATGGGCATTTGTTAAATATACACTCTAAGGTCTATGTGCATATGTACACATACGTACAGACACAGCCACCCGCCCCCCCCTCCCCCCCCGGGTACTGTACACAGGCTCAGCCAGGGACAGACAAATGGGGTCCCTCTCTCAAGTGTCCCCTGTGAGTCACTCTGAGTCAGACATTTTGCTGAAGGAAGGAAGGGGCTGGAGAGAAGAAAAAGGTGGGATTCTGGAGTGTGATACTGTGGCTTTCATCTCATTCCCGCCCCCCACCCCCAGACTTAAACCTTGTCGGTCTCCGGGAGGCATGTCACCCGCCCACCCTGCCTAGGGCTGGTAGGTATCAGGGCGAGGGCTGCTTCTGCTGAGAGGAACCTACATCTGTGTGTGTGCATGTGTGTGATTGTGTGTGAGCACTTGGCGGGGGAGGGAATGAACGTCCATCTCTGTCCTCTGGGCTCCCAACCATAGAGGGCTGAGAACCAGGAAGCCGCCAGTCAGGATGGTGACCCCTGTGTGAGCTCTGAAGGGAGAGGAGAAACGGAAGAATGAAAACTCTGAGGTCAGAGCAGGGTTGCTGGGAAAAGAAGGAAGGACATGGCAGGTGCCCAAGGCTTCCCTTGGACTGTCGTCGTCTTGTAAACAAGCTAGTGTAAGTTCTCATTAGATAGAACAAGTAAAAAGACTGCAGTCTGGAGGCTGGGCCGGGGAATTGCTGAAGTCCACCTATCTAGTCCACCTCGGCCAGCAAGAGGAAAAAAAAAGTTTTACAGTTCTGTTTTTGTTGACTTTTTTTGTGTGAAGTCTTCATAACCTAAAGCTGGGAGGGACCCAAAAAAGCCAAATTGTGAGCCCTTGTAATGCGTCAATTTGCAAGTTGGCTCAGGGTCTCTGGATAGATTAACCATACTAAAGGTTGAGAAAATTTTTGTTCCATTCGCATTTAGTTTGTGTGGTTTTTAAAAATGACTTAAAACTGTTTGCTTCCTGGTCTCAGAGCCGGGTCTGGGCCTCGGGGACATAAATCTCGATGCTGTCTGCGCTCTCTGTGGCCGAGTTCTGCCTCACAGAAGCTGCCCGCTTGGCTGCCAGGAGTCTCTTGCGGGCCTCCTGACGCTGCTTGTCCCCAGCGTCGGAGGCCTTGTCACGGCTCACTGCCGGCTTGGATTTGGCTGGCTTCTTTGGGACCGGAGGGGGTGGCTTCTTTTCTTCCTTTAGTGAGACAGTGAGGAGGGAAGAAAAATAAAATAAAGGTGCCACCTTTGGTGTGGCACTACCACCCACTATATGCTGGCAGCTGGAGTTCCACCCCATGCTCCCCGCATCGGGCACAAGCAAACACGTTTGGAATCAGGAAGCCACGAGAAGCGATGATAGTGGGAACAGCACAAGGCACAGGAGCAAAAAGCAAGCTTAGGTCCCTACAGTGTTCTAGTGGCAAGGGGTGGACGAGTCACCTGCTCCCACCCCTGCTTTGAACCATTGGGAGCCTGAGACTCAGACAGGAATGAACCCAAGTCACACAGCCAGAGATGGGGTTTAAATTCAGGCCTCCAACTCCCAGGTCACATGCTGTTGTAGGGCATCAGAACTTAGAAGGCCCCCAGTCTAGTAGCCAACAACCCCAGGGGTCACCGGGGGCCACCGCTTCACAGAAGGAAGCCTGGGGCCTCAGGGGAGAGGCTGGCCCCCACATTCTGTGGACAGGGCGGCCCCCAGAGGACCATTTCCCTGCCTCCAGAGCTCCTACAGCCACGTCTACATGAGTGCTCAAGGCTGCGGGCATGCTTCCCGGGAGCCCCCTTTCTGACCATGCAGGGCAGGGTGGCATGCTTCGGGGGCAGCCTCAACTACGGCGTGAGCGGCATGCTGGGCGAGTGCTGAGCGTGGACCCCGCGCACGGATGGACGTGAGCCCCCAGCTCAAAGACGACACACGGAGAAGGGAGCCAAGCAGCACTGACCGATGTGGGCAGCGTTATTGCCGACCAGGAATTTGTCCCTGGACTTCCCCTCCGCACTGCTCCATGCTCACCTTCCTCTTCTCGGGGGTCTCCACCAGCTGCCAGCTGTTGGCCTTGAGATGGTAGAGCTCATCAAACTTCATGCTGATGTCCTCGATGGACAGCTGTAGCAGGTCCCAGAACCCCGCCAGGTCCTGGGCTGTTGGATGTGGATTGGCGTCAGGGTTCTGTGGGGCAGAGCGGTCATCAGTGGGGCAAGCAAGGCAGAGGCTCGTCTTGTACCTCACCCCAAGTATGGTCTCCTGGCCCTGCCAGCCAGGGTCAGGGTCTCTTGAGGCCTAGTCTTACTCCCCTGGTCCCAGGGCCAGCATCTGCGTGAGTGAGTGAAGCTAGTTCCTGGTCACCCGCCAGCCCTGATGGTGGAGATCTCTAGGAGAAAGAGAAAGGCCTTGCATGTACATGGGGTGGATTGAGGCCTTTGCCACCATGGTAGGGCTACAGTGAGGAGGGCCCTCATGTCCCTAATGCATGCCAAATTCACAACTGTTCTTATTTTACAGGGAGAAAACAGAAGTTCCTGGCCACGGTCTCACAGTGGCGGGGGGGTGTGTGTGTGGTGGTGGTGTGTGGGTGGGGGTGTGTGTGTGTGTGTCGGGGAGAAGCCAGGATCTGTCCTAGGTAGGTGTGATTACAGAGTCCATGTGGTCTTCTTCCCATTATTCCGTTCTCTGACAACATGTTCCTCATCATTACCACCCGAGCCAGTCCCCGAACCCCTTACAGGTCCTGGAGACAAACACTCTGCCACTGTCCTCTACCCCTAGGTGTACAGTCCCCCCAAACCCCCTGCTGGTCAGAGAGGCTTCCACACTCCCAGGAGGCAGGGGTGAGGGAGAGGGAAACCTACAAAGCCTAGAGGTGGTAGTTTTAAATTTCTTACCTTGACTGTCTTCTTAGATATAGAATGTTTTATATAAATAAACCTGTGCTAACTGATCTTTAACTTTCATTGGCTATATTTACATCACTTTATTTCAAAAGGTTAGTGACCTGAAAGGACCATTCCTGGCCCCTTTCTTGTGCTAGCTGCTGACATTGTCATCATCTCCCTAATGACACGGGAAGGCAGCACCTTCTCTCTGTTACAGGAGGTCACGGAGGCTTATAGGTGCTAATCCAGCTGGGGGATCTGGCAGGCAGCCAAAGGCTGGAAGAAAGACGACTCACACTCACCAAGTTTTGCTCACAGAGGCCCCGGAACTGCTGGAATTTCTGGGACATCAGTAACTGGGCACTGCCCACAGCACTGAGGACTTTTCCTAAGACTGAGACAGAGAAGGTGGAATAAGATGGACTGAGCAGAGCACAGGGTTTGCTGGGGGTGGAGGCAACATCAGGGCCATGACCTCCCTGCCTTAGGATACCAATCATCATTTGGTGATAGCAGTCGGTTTTCACTGTATATATATATAATCCATTCTCATTGTGAGAAATGCAAACAAGATCTATAATGTGAACTCTATCCCCTAGTTCCTAAGGATAATTTATGGCAATAAATTTGAAAACAATTTAAATGAAAAAATTTCCAGAAATATGTAAATGACTATCATAGACACAGGAAGAAACAGAAACTCTGATTTGACTAGTAACTGTTTTTAAAAACTGAAGCAGAAGTTAAAAACCCCAGAAAAGGAGCCAGGTCTATGTAGTTTTGCAAAACCTTCAAGGAACAGATAATCCCTGTCTTATATTCAAACTCTTTTAAAGAATAAATGGAGATAGAAACTGATACAACTAATTTCAGGAGTCCTGACAGCAAATAGGTCATGCCAAGAATAAATCACTTTCATTATGGACAAAAATGTAAAAGTCTTACGATATAAGCAAACAGAATCCAACAGAAGAGTTAACCGTGAAACTATTTAGTAGGGAATACAGGTTGATTTTTCAGTGTGACTTTAAACTGGTAGCGTAAAGAAATAGTACCTCCCACTCCCCTCAGAAAGCCCTGAGAAGCAGAGGAGTAACTAGAAATGGAAACGCAGATTGTCTCTGACAGAACCCAGAACCCGGAGCACAGAGCACATGAGAGGACAGGCGGCGGGGTCTTGGGGTTGAAAGTCTCAGATGAAGTTAGTTAGCAGTTTTGAGTTCTCCAAAGTAGCGCACCTTGAGGGGAGAGGCCAATAATCTCTTACATCCTGTAAAAAGCGGGTGAGGACTGCAGCAGGGCTTCCCTAGGCCTGGTTCGGCACCAAGGGCTCAGGGTGGGCTGGATGGGGCTCTGCAGGGTAAACAGCCCTCTAGTTGCCTGGGATGCAGGAGGAAGGGATACACTCTTGGCCCCTCCCACAATGATCTACTGATAAGAGCTCATAAGAAATTAGTAATGAAAAAGGAACCAACACAGAAGGTAAACATATTACAGGCACAGCAAGCAAATGGCAAATGGACATTCACCAGAAAGTTGTTGCCAGGGAACAGATGAAAAGTGTGACATTTAGTTGTGAATATGTAAGAACAGTAGTTCAAAGCAGAGATGGAGGTGCTCCAAACAGATGCAAGACAATGGCAGGAGATAAAACATGAGCTCTGGAACGAGTGCAAGAGAAAACCAGGTCACCACAGAAACAAGGGCCACACTGGAAGAAGCACAAGCATAAACCCTACTGAAAACTAGGAAGGCCAAGGTAAACAGAAGTGTAAAACACTTAAACTGCTTGATTTTTTAATTAATTAATTTTTAAAGAGAGGGAGAGAAACATCAATGTGTGGTTGCCGCCTCTCACACGCCCTGCCACTGGGGACCTGGCCTGTAACCCAGGCATGTGCCCTGACTGGGAATCAAACTGGTGACCCTTTGGTTTGCAGGCCAGCACTCAATCCATTGAGCCACACCAGCCAGGGCCAAACTGCATGCCCCCTCAACCCCCACCCCCACCCAGTAGGTAGTGGGGATATGTGCCTGGCTTGGTCTAAAGTAGAGTGGGAATAAGAGGAAAAGTCTCTTGAGAATTCCTAACCATAGGACTGCACTTGGGTACCTTTTTTTTTCTTTTTTAAGAAATGAAAGAAGATAAATGTATTAAAGAGAAACTATCAAAAAGAAAGTGAGCAGTATGAAAGAGAGAGACAGAGAGAGAGAGAGACTCTCAGCATTCTAAAAGAAGAGACTAGAGAGAATGGAAGAAAAATATTCAAAGAGATCATGATTTAGGGTTTGCTAGAAATGGCTGGCACCAGTCCTCAGAGTCAGGAAGTCAAATTAATCCCAAGCAAATCCACACTTACTTATGGTAAAAACAAAGAGAAATTCTTAAAAAGCAGCCAAAGGGAAAGTAAAGATTATGGATGAAAACTGAAAATGGTACCAAGAGAAATGTATTAACTTAGAATTCTATACCCAGAGAAACTATTATTCAAGAGCGAGTGTAGCCCTGGCTGGTGCATCTCACTGCGTTATGTGTGGGTCTGTGGTAGAGATAACTGATCGGTGTTTCTCTCCTTTTCTTTCTCCCTCCACACTCTAAGAAACAAATTAAAAAACCCACAGTGTTTTGTTTTTGTTTTTGGTAAAGAATGAGGTATGAAGGTTTTTGGTCAAGATGGCAGAGTAGGTAAACACTATACTTGCCCCCTCCCACAACCACTTCAAAATTATAACTAAACTACAGAACCACCATCGTTTAGAACTGCCTGAAGCCCTGTTGTGTCTGGTAGGAGAGGCAGAGATGCTGAATGAGCCCCACACCCACATATGGTGGTTAAACGTTACGAGGGCTATCTTGGCTGCAGAGGTCCTGCCTGAGGAGCGATGGTCCACACACCAGGTCAGGGTTCCAGTGCCAGGAACCGTGACTTCTGGCCCCATGAATTCTGGCTGTAAAAACCAGTAGCAATTGTGGCTGAGTGAGACAGAGGACTTTGAGTCCCAGGCAAATCGTCTTAAAGGAGTTACTCACTGACCAATTCAATTGCTCTGAGCTCCAGCACTGGGGCAGCAAAAAAGGTGCCAGGGACACAGAGGGAGAAACTGGATTGTCTGGCTTCCAGGCAAGGGCTGGAGGGCCAACTTTCTCCCAGACAGAAATGTTGGCAGAAGCCCTTGTTCCTTTGCTGAGCCCTCCCCCCTAAAGGTGCAGGCTTGTACTATATCTGAGTGTCCATCAACCTTACTAATACCGCTTGCCCTGGTGATTCCCTGAGACCTACACCTCACTCAACTTGCAGACCCACCCAAGCTACTTCAGTAGCTTTTCCATACAAATAGCCTGTCTTGACTCATGCTTCGGACTTTTGTAAAATCTCTCGAAGGTTCACAAACTGCAAACAAGCAGCACCTCATCTCAGGAGGCCCTGTGCCTCTTGCTAAGTGGCCACAGGCCTGGCATTAATGACAACTGGCTTTGGTTCACAGCTTATTCTCTCACAGACATCTCTAAGCTCAGCACAGGTAGCAATCATCTGTGATCACTTTGTAGCTTATGCCAGGTGGCTCTGGGCAGGGCACAGGCAGCAGCTGACTTTGGCCTGCACCTCCCAAGAGGCCCTAGAGCCAACATACCCGGTGGCCAGACTCGACAGGTACCAGAGCCCTGCCAAAGTGAATCCTGCTCAGTAGGGTCAACCTCTGCAACCAGTCCTGACAACAAATCTGCCTGAGGGTCAATCCCTCCCACTGATGTACCAACAGCAATCAAGTCTCAACGACAACAGGAAGGCACACACAACTCACACAAGGGACATACTTAGAGCACCCGGCTCAGGTGACCAGGGAAACTGTGCCAGGGTCCAAAGGATATCTACTACATAAGGCAACTCCGCCAAGACCAGGATACACAGCAGCTCTACATATACACAGAAACCAACACAGGGAAGCAGACAAAATGCAGAGACAAGCATGCCCCAAATGAAAGGACAGGAGAAATCTCCAGAAAAAGAACTCAATGAAATAGAGGCAAGCAAACTACCAGATATAGAGTTGAAAACATTGGTTATAAGGATGCTCAAGGAACTTAGTGAGAAGTTCAACGTCATAAAAAAGGACAAAGAAACCATAAAAAAGAACCAGACAGAAATGAACATACAGTAACTGAAATGAAGAATACATAAGAGGAAATCAACATGAAGCAAGGACCAAATCAGTGATTTGGAAAATCAGATAGCAGAAAATACCCAATGAAACAGAATAAAGAAAAAGAATCCAAAAAAATGAGGATAGTTTAAGGGACCTCTGGGACATCAAGCATGACATGTGCATCATAGGGATACTAATACTAGAAGGAGAAGTGAGAGAGCAAGGAATTGAAAACCTATTTGAAGTAATAATGGCAGAAGACTTCCCTAACCTGGCAAAGGAAATAGAAATAGGTGAAGGAAAAAGCCCAGGAAACACAGTCCCAAAAGATGAACTCAAAGAGGCCCACATCAAGACATATCATCATTAAAATGCCAAAGGTTAGTCCTGGCTGGTGTGGCTCAGTGGACTGAGTGCTGGACCGAGAACCAAAGGGTCACCAGTTTAATTCCCAGTCAGGGTCCATGCCTGGGTTGTGGGCCAGGTCCCCAGTAGGGGGCACTCGAGAAGCAACCATACACTGATGTTTCTCTCCCTCTTTCTCCCTCCCTTCCCCTCTCTAAAACAAATAAATAAATAAATAAAATGCCAAAAGTTAAATACAAAGAGAGGACTTTAAAAGCAGCAAGAGAAAAGCAGTTACCGACAAGGGAGCTCCCATAAGACCGTCAGCAGATTTCTCAACAGAAACTTTGCAAGCCAGAAGAGACTGGCACGAAATACTTGATGTGAAAGGCAAGGGTCTACATCCAAGATTACTCTACTCAGCAAAGCTATCATTTAGAATCTAAGGGGTGATAAAGAGCTTCCCAGACAAAAACTAAATGAGTTCACTACCTAACCGGTATTATAATAAATTAAAAGGACTTCTTTAAGAAGAAGAAAAGATAAAAAAATATGAATAATAAAGTGGCCATAACTACATATCAACAATTACTTTAAATGCAAAGGGATTAAATTTTCTGATCAAAAGACATAAAGTGGTTGAATGGGTAACAAAACAAGACTCTTACATATGCTGTTTTATAAGAGACTCAGATAGAAAGACACAGACTGAAAGTAAAGGTATAGAACAAGATATTTCATGAAAATGGAAACGGAAAAAAAAAAGAAAGTGGGGTACAATACTTATACCAGACAAAATAGATTTTAAAACAAAGGCTATATAACAAGAGACAAAGAAGGGCCCAGCAATTCCACTTCTGGGTATTTATCCTGAGAAATCCAAAACACTAATTCAGAAAGACA